CATATGTGGAGCAGGATCTGTTTACCCTTCCGGAGCACCTCAGATAACCCCCAGTTTCTGGTGGGGTTCGTGTTGTTCGGTCTTTGGTTTTCTATGTTGTGTTTTGTGTGCTGTTGTTTGTCTTTTTTAGCCATGGCGTTGTCAGTGTATTTCCGACTTATCAGTTTGAATGTACCTTTGTTTCATTTTTTTCTTGTAAATAAACTCATCATAGATACTAGGCTCAAAATTTTGTACGCCGGAGGCGCGTTTCATCTACGAAAAAATAATCAGTGATCACATTAACGGCACAAGATTTACTGCACCAGATGCGCCGATCGAATCAAAAATTAAAACGCCAAATACAGTAAGACGTTGACGAGAATCGAAGACCCAAAATTCGGAATGGTTTTTCCAAATACAGCTGAGGTAATCTATTCCCTGTGGTACAAAAAAATCCTTAGTGTTTCGAATGAAAATTCTAAGCTTTGTAAACAGTTAATTTATAATTGTGACCATATCAATGAATTCATGTCAACATAAAAGTGCTGACTACTGGGCTGATGATACCCTCGGGGATGAATCCCACAACAGCAGTGACATCAAGCCAATGGTTGTAAATTAACTCATGTTCATGCAGTATGGGCTTTGCTCATTGTTGAAGGCCGTACGGTGACCTATAGTTGTTAATTTCTGTGTCATTTGGTCTCTGATGAAGAGTTGTCTCATTGGCAATCATACAACATCTTTTATTTATATCAGCATAGATACCAGGCTTAAGCAGCAACCCCTATCAATTCGACAATGACAGGACTCTCAAGTCCTGGAATATCGAATAAATCTAGAATATTGTATCAGCTGAATGATATATATTCCATGTGCAGATACTGGTATGACGGAATATAGGAATGGAAAATTCGCCATAGGGAGATTTAAATCACCCCTTTGTTGCAAGCTTTAGATGTCGACCGAACCTCGCTGTAAATTTCAAGACATGAATCAGACTTCCATTTTCATTATGATAGATCAGATCAGCATAATCACAAAACTTTGATAGATGTAGTTACAAAACACATTTGTATAGTGGAAACGTATCGCTAAAGGAAAATACTACCTTGATTCAATTGATTCTTATTGAGAAGTTCTTATATGTATAGCGTATCTCATACACATAGGAATTATCCTACTAGAAGAGGGATGTAATTGAACCCCGTAGGAATGCCGACTTTTAGATGAAAAATATGTCCATCAAACGTAACATGTGTGTGTATGTGTTCTTGATAAAGTATATATTATCCTCTCCTAAAACAGGATATATAAATCAACGTTGGCTCTTTTTATGAAACAAAGTTGTAGTTAATCTTTCAACCTGTCTTGTAAGTTTAGAATGAGGAATTCTTGTGTTTTAAAGAAAAGAGACTCAAAATGTAGAGTGGGTATTTGTTGTATTTAAACAGACCAAAGAAATTTCTCATATTCAAAAGCCTCATGGAAAATCATCTATGTCCAGCAATATAACGATTTTTGTAACGACACTTATGTAATTTGGTAACTAATAAAATGCTTCGCTGAGCGCAGCCTGATACGACCGCAGAGGTCGAACCCTGAACAGTTGGGGCAAGTTTAGACACCATATTCAAGCTTGATACTGTCTGAATTTGGATTGTGATCAAATATTTTGACATAATACAGGTTTCTGACACAAAATAAATGTGGTCAAAGATCTTAAAAATTTGAAATGGGACATTTAATTTACCTAGAATGGTCTGATATCTAAAATTTAACAACATGGTTAGATTCAGCATATAAAAAAAACCAAAAATTTAATTTTAGTTGAAATCAAACAAAGTTTGTAAGGGAGGTAACTCTAATGCCAAAAAAAACCCAAAAAAAAACAAAGAATAACCAATTCGGTGTATAAAAATATATTACCACTGAACTATTTGATATACACTATTATAATATTATAATACACAGTATTTGATGTTTCTAGAAACAGCTAAAAAATATTTCATACTAGAACTAGCAAACAAATAGCAAAAAGTACCAACATAAAGAAAGAAAGCTAAAGTAATTGTCCATTAACCAGTAAACCCTTGTTTTCCCCCCCTTTTTTGCCCCTAATTCCTAAACAGACTGAGCCATAATCCCCCAAAGCCAATCCTAACCATCCCTTTGTGGTGTGGAAACTTGTGGTACAATTTCAGACAATTCCATACACTGTTCCACAAGTTATTGTCTGGAAACTAGAAAAATGCTTATATGGGCCCCTTTTTGACCCCTTATTCCTAAACCGTAGGGACCATAACCCCCAAAATCAATCTCACCTTCCTTTTGTGGTTTCAAACCTTGTGTTTAAATTTCATAGATTTATATTAACTTATACTAAAGTTATTGTCAAATTTCCAATGGAGTTTGCAACCATAATAACCCATTTAAATACATCATAAAAGTCTTAAAATAGAAAATGACATACATAATCATGGCTAAGATTAAATTACATTGCATTTTTAAAATAGTAACTTCTAAAAATAAATTGACAGCTAATCACCTCAAGACAATACAACATTTCTTATACATCATTTAAAAGCAGTGAAAGGGAGGTAATTCAAACACATTGTCAATGTTGTGTTTGAATAACCTTCCTTACGCTGCTTTTAAATTATGTTTTGTACTTAAGTAATTGTCCATTAACCTGGAAACCCTTGTTTTTCCCCCTAATTCCTAAACGGTTTGAGCCATAACCCCCCCCCCCCCCCCCCCCCCCCCCCCAAGCCAATTCTTACCATCCCTTTGTGGTATGGAAACTTGTGGTATAATTTCAGACAATTCCATACACTGTTCCACAAGTTATTGTCTGGAAACTAGAAAAATGCTTATTTGGGCCCCTTTTTGGCCCCTAATTCCTAAACAGTTGGGACCATAACCCCCAAAATCAATCCCAACCTTCCTTTTGTGGTCATAAACCTTGTGTTTAAATTTCATAGATTTATATTTACTTATACTAAAGTTATTGTCCGGAAACCAAATGTCTTCGGACCACGAGGACGACGTGATACCAATATACGACCGCAAATTTTGCGGTCGTATAAAAAAGGGAGAGAGAGGGCAGATCTTCATCTTAATTGTTGAAATTTCAAAGTAAATCAAAACGGATCTATAATCTTTTAGGATTTCCTCTTTGTGCAAGGTTTGGTCATCCGGGTTCAATGTTTTTTATTTATGCAAATAATGTGACTGGGTGAGTACCGCAAAAATAAGAACTCACATTCTGATATCTGTATGCAGCTTTTGCTCAAATCTCAATAATTAATTTCTCATTTTTGTCCATTCTTCAAAAATCGCTAAATTCATAAATGCTCACAATAATTTCTGAATTTACAGTAATTAAGTACGAGGTTTCCCAGTGAATTGTCAATACCCAATTCCCTTATCATACTGTCTATATTTGAAATTCACATTTAAAATGTTTGGAACTAATTTGTGATGTAGATAATACAGATGCTACAAAATATTTTGGTCTTTCAATGTAAACATAGTATAAGTATTCTCTAAACCTTTCTATTTTTTATTTATGAATTTTTCTCAACCTCTCATTCATAACCTTATGAAAAACGTGTGTCTTCTTTTTTCGTGTTTTGTCAAATATCTGGATAATCCTACACATAATCTAAGAGTATCTTAAAGGTCTGTTTTCAGTTTATGAAATTATAATTTCAGAGTAATCTAATCATTTGGCTAACAATTTTTATAGAGAAGTGTTGATTCTTTAATGACAAGTCTGTCAGTAATCATAATCTGCAAGCTAGGATAAATATGAATGGTCAACCACCAGGTTAAGATTTGAATTCCTCAAATTTGAGAGCAAGTATTTATAGTTGAAAATTTTAGTACTATAGGTATATGAGATAATTGGAGCAGACTAATCTTCAAAATATGGAAACCAGAAGGATCAAATCAAAACAAACCAATACCTATAATGTCAACTATCCAAAGCTCTGATTCCTTGCCCAGCTTTGGCTATACTTTTTGGTCCTTTTTGGTTTATAGCTCTTCATATTTTTAATATGCTTTGGATTTTCAAATAATCGGCCTCGAGCATCACTGAAGAGACATTGATTGTCGAAATGCGCATCTGGTGCAGAAAAATTGGTACCGTTTGTTATTACTACCACTGGGTCGATGCCTCTGCTGGTGGACTGATAGTCCCCAAGGGTATCACCAACCCAATAGCCAGTACTTTGGTACTAGCATGAAAATACGGATTTTATGTTATTAAAATTTGTTGTTACAAAATTTTGGAAATTATTTAAAATAAAGGAATGTATCTCCCTCATGCAAAGCTCTGATTCAAAGCCCAGCTTTGACTATGCTTTTTGGTCCATTTTGGTTTATAGCTCTTCATATTTTTAATAAGCTTTGGATTTTCAAATATTTTGGCCTCGAGCATCACTGAAGAGACATTGATTGTCGAAATGCGCATCCGGTGCAGAAAAATTGGTACCGTTTATGTTATTCCAACTATGTCTAAAGGAGTTGAAAAACCTCATCAAAGATACTCAGTCAATCTTTTGTCAAAAACTTGTGTTACATCAGACATGTTTCGTCTACATAGGCCAAGTCAGTGATGGTCCAATAAAAAAGTTGGAAGGCCAATTCAAACAATGATGTTGGACATTGCAAGCCTAAAATCCCGAAAAATTCCACCAAATACGACTAAGGCCATCTTTAACTGGTGTTAGAAAAACCGTAGTGTTTAGAATAATTCCATATTTTAAAAACAGAATTTACAGAAATTTACCAAGTCAATGATATTTCATGTCAACACAAGGTGACACAATCTTGGACTATCTGTCATCCAGCGGTGGCATCGATCCAGTAGTCATAAAAACTTAAAGATACCTGCTTTATATCTACTTTCAAAACAAGAAAAATGGTCAAGATATCTGTTTGATTTCAGAAAGACAAAGATTGGTAACTTACCTGTCAATAGTCTAAATTTGACAAAATAAAGAGTTAACTATAAAATGACTGTTTAATAATCACAATATAAAATTATTTACATAACTTTACACTATGATACAATATAACTATCAAAACAAATACAATAATTTATTTTAAAATAAATGATTTGAGGGATCAATGTGGAACAATATTTTCATTTCTTCATATTAAGACGTGTATCAGTATACATTTTTTTTGTACGTTGACAACTAAGATATACAATCACATCATGCAAAATTGTATTTGAGAAATAATACCAGATAGGATTTCAATAACACTATATAACAAGGGTTATCACTTTTGGTAGGAAGGAATCCTCATAGTACTTTTTTCAAATTGAAGAAAATATTATGGTTGATTGATTGTTGGGGTTTAATGGCGATTTCAGCACTATTAGCTAAATCATGGCGGTCAGTTTTTAATGGTGGAGGAAGTTGGAGTGCCTGGAGAGAATCACTCACCTCAGGCTAGATTACTGACAATCCTAATCAAGTAAGATTGGAGTCAAACACACAACACCTACCTTGTGCAGGGTTCAAACTCCCACCTCTATGTTGACAGGCTAGTGATACAGCAGATGAAATACTTAGACCACTTGGCCACCAAGGCTCCAGAGAGTATGAAGAGAAATTATTTCTTGGACATAGATACAAAAATGTATGTTCATTCAAAGTATGCATAATAAATTGAAGAAAGCATGTTGGTTCTTGGGGTTATTAGAAGTCCCTCCTTCACCATCCCACATCCAGTTTAATGAAAAAGCTCTTACAGTTGAGGTAAACAGTTTTTATTTATGTTTGCAGATAAAACCATTTTCTTCTCACTTAAATGTAAAATTTGAATATTTTTTTTAATATTTTCAAAATTAAAATCTGAAGATAAGCTTGTCACCCTGCAAAACAACAATACACTCAAGATTATAAGTTAATAATCCTTCCTACTAGTGAATGTTAACAGATATTGTTAATAAATAAGGGGTTAGTTTCTGCATATTCCATATAAATATACACACAGAGGTTGTAATTGAATAACTGTCCCCCAGTTTCAGAGTGATTCACCACCAAGAGTAATTTTGAACCAAATTACCTTGTTTGTACTGAAAAATATAGTACATAGAGTACACAGTATAAAAAGTTTCAGAGATTGTATGAATATAAATAAATAACAGGAAGAGAAAAGGTCATCTTGGACATGACTTGCAGCAATCTGAAAAGAACTATATAATTGAACTTATACAACAGAGAAGCAGCCTTAAAAAATATCTAGGTTTTAATTAGTATAAAACTTAGGCACAATTACATTTTGAATGTTGATGCTCCTTTACTGTAAATGTATCAATGCCATTATTTCTCATGTTAGGAATTCTTTTTATGGATTAATGCAGACTAAAGTCATAGACACAGAATATGACTACAACCAGAAATTGAATTAATTGATATGTAAGTTAAAGTACAACGTCTTGGTTTGTCAGAACACCCAGTGAAAATTACCCAATGCAATGTATACTATTTTTAATATATTATGGCTTAAAATGTGAATATTTCATAATATATTTTGCATCACCATGTATGAGGGAAAAAACGCAGTTTAAAAATAAAGGAGGAATACTCAAGTTTCCAAAATAATTTTTCCCTAATTTGATTTATACCAGTGGGTTCCTCAGGGCATTCTAGCACCATGGGGCTATCTGAAATAGATTTTATAATATATTGTTTTAAAAGTCTGGTGTGATAATTTTAGGGAAGCAGGCCAGTGGTATTTCAAATCATGTGGCGTTATTTGAAAATACTGGAAGAATACTGTATAAAATCTACAGAGATAACTATTAAGTACAGAAAATACATTCCCAGAGTTCCTTCCTTTTATGCCAAGAATACACATGTGAAGATTAATGAATGAAAGAAGGTTCCCTATTGCACATGAACAGCTCTCTCGTTCTACACAAATGTCATGCTCATGTACACCACAGTTTATATATTATCACAGTTTCACTGTCGTCGTAAATTTTCTAATCGTGCCTCTAAATCTGCATCAGCATCGCTAGGTCCTCCTCCGGCAGCCTGTGCTTGCGGTTGTTTTGATGCCCCAGCTGCTAATGTTCCCCCTGTTGATGGCAAACCTGTAAAAAGGATATCATTTTTAAAATAAATAATGTATGAACGACAAAACGTTATCAAATCATAATCTATATATTTTCATTTATCCTCAACTATCTTTATACTTTCTCGGTTTTTATATAGATTAGACTGTTGGTTTTCCTGTTTGAAGTGTTTTACACTAGTCATTTTGGGGCCCTTTATAGCTTGCTGTTCGGTGTGAGCCAAGGCTCCGTGTTGAAGGCCGTACTTTGACCTATAATTGTTTACTTTTTACATATTGTGACTTGGATGGAGAGTTGTCTCATTGGCACTCATACCACATCTTCTTATTTCTATGTTCCTATTTTCTGCTAAAAATAGAGTAAACTAGTTATTTCAGGTAGAAATATGACATAGTAAAATATTTCAGATTCCAAATTATATGGGTATATCTTTTATTATGTTCTAAACAGTTACATAATCTCTTATAAATTTAAACATTAGAATAAGCTAGATAACAGAAAGTTAGTTTTATTCAATAGAAACCAGTCAAGCTAGTTTAAAAAGGGAACTTGATGGCAAATGCATACAGTACATGCAGTTACGATTGCTCTGATTAAAACAACATTTGGTGGTGTAGAGTGAATCTCTTAGGGAACGACCATTTAACTTCAAGGGGAGGGTTATGGTTTTTTCCTAAAAAAAATATTCTGATCCCCCCAAAAAAGACAAAAAAACATAACCCCCTTCCTTGAAGTTAAATGGTTGCTCCCTTAATGAGACATGGTGTTTGCTGTTTTTTCTTTATAGCAATAACACTCTGGTTTCTGACCCTTTCACATTTTACCTGACAATCAATCTGTCAGTTGTAAACCTTATTCAATATTATAGAACTTGCCTGACAATTCATTTGTCAGTTGTAAACCCAATTCTTTATAACAGAACCTACCTGATAATTCATCTGTCAGTTGTAAACCTAATTCATCTAAAACTTGAGAAACTATAGCATCACTGAAAAAAAGATAAGAATAGTATAGAAGGATAATTTTTAGTAGTCTTTGTCCAAACTGGATCAAAATTAGTTTTTTTGTGAACAAAATACAACTAGAGGCTCTTTAGAGCCTGTGTCACTCACATAGGACTATGTGCATCTTCAACAATGGATACTCTTCATCTTAGTGGACTAGAATAGAATTCATGACATAAATCTCTTCTTTGACGATCTAATCTTGCTGATCATTTTTTGCTTATTTAAGTTTCTATCTATCTAATATAGTTTTTCAGATAGTAGGCAATTTCAGGGATTTCGTTACCACAAATTACTTAAAACCTTTACTAAATTCTTCCATAGATATAAAGATTTGGTTTTGAAGTTTGGTTGTACCTTATCATTTAGTCTCTTGTGGAGAGTTGTCTCATTGCCAATCATACCACATCTTCTTATTTTTATAACAACACAAAACAAGAGGCTGTCAGAGTGACAGCAAACCGGATTTTCCTGCAGAGGTCGAACCCTGAACAGTTGAGCAAGTATGGACACAACATTTAAGCTTAAAACAGCTCTGAATTTGGATTGTGATTGAATATTTGATACAGCATAGGATTGTGACACAAAATAAATGTGATCAAAGAACTGAAAAATTTGAAATTGGACATTTACCTATTATGGTTCAATATCCAAAATCTTAGTACATTGTTAGAATCAGCTTATCAAAGAACCCCAAAAATTCATTTTTTTATGAAATACTTATTAATTAAAACAATTTCTGTTCAAAGGGAAATAATTCAAACTTGTTTCCATGAACCAGTAATGATTTCACCACTAAAAAATTGTTCTCTAAAATTAGATATGATGTTTTCAAATTATAATCAAATATAACTAATAGTTCCCAATATTTTTTCTTTCATTTGTCAGAAACTAATATCTTATCTGCAACTTATCTTTCAATGTCAACAACTTTATCTACACAATGTAATGTAATGAAATATATCCTTTAATAAAAATAGATTATTATCTAATGAAAATGATATTTGCAAATCTGGACACCCAAACAGGATCAAGTAAAAATTTAACATTAACACACACAACAAAAATAAAATACCACATAACAACTGTGACATCTACCTTCAAAACACACATGACTTAAAAAAAAAATAGTTATAAATTTTTGACAACTCCTGACTAATCAATTGAACAGATACAATCATTGATAGACTATCTATACATCTCAGCTATACATAAACTTATTAATTTCTGTTCAAAGGGAAATAACTCAATCACATAATAAGAAAATTTCTGGTTTCTAAAGGGTCCAAAATTAAAAAAACAGGAAAAGCTAAAGTTGAAAATTGAACTTGACCTTCTTTTTGTCACAGGAAACAACATATCAAAATTTGAAAAAAATTCATCAAAGCGTTTTCATGTAAATGAACGGACACTGTTTGGCAGCCATCGCCCGCCCCCCATACATCCCCAAATCAATAACCGATTTTTCCTTTGAAAATCCGGTTAAAAATGATAAAAATCTTTATTAAAGAGAAAACTCTAATAAGGGGTCATCAGACGATTTAAAGCATGTTGACTCATTTGTAGATCTTGTCTTGTTGATCATATTTGCTTATTTAAGTTTCTATCTATCTATTATAGTTTTTCAAATATAATGCAAAAACGCAAAAAATTGGTCAGAACCATCATTAATGGGCATTAACTCCAATAAGGGGTCGTCAGAAGATTTCAACTATTTGACTTATTGGTAGATCTTGTCTTGCTGATCATTTTCGCATATTTAAGTTTCTATCTAGTATTTATCTATTATACTTTTTCAGATTTTAGGCAAGAACACAAAAAGTTGGTAAAAATCATCATTAAAGGGCACTAACTCCAATAAGTGGTCTTCAGACGATTTCAACCATGTTGACTTATTTGTAGAACTTATCTTGCTGATCATTTTTGCTGTATAAAGTTTCTCACTATCTATTATAATTTTCAAGATAATAGGCAAAAATTTAAAAAGTTCATCATTTGAGGGCAACCTATAGTGGTCTGACAGTTAGGAAGTAATGGACAATAGGTAGATCTCATCATTCCAAACATTTTTGCCTTCATCAGATTTTCTCTATTTATAGTGGTTTTCAAGATAATAGACAAAACTTGCATTTTACCCTTATGTTCTATTTTTAGCCATTTCGGCCACCTACGGGCCAGCTGAGCTAAAAAAGAATGTATATACAATTTAAAAATTTAAATGGGAATAACTTTAATTTAAAAGCAGGTCAAAATTTTGGGCAGGTTGAAAGTGGAAATTATTTTAAATTTTAGGTCAACATTATCTGACAAAGTTTATACAATATCATAAAGGAGTAAGTTTAGTAAGGGGCCAATTATGACCCCTATTTCTAGCTTAAAATTCAAGTTAGGATACACTGGCCATTATCAAAATGTATCATTTTTACAGTGAAACAATGACTAGATAGGATTCACTATAGATTCACATATCAGCGTTCTCTTAATGATGTCAAAATTAGTAAGTGTCAACAAAAAGACATGTTAACATTATATATGTCTTTTATTACAAATAACCTTTCTGACTTCAACATTTAGTTTGTTGAATCCTGTGCTCTATGTTACCTAGGTCTAAATGTGGTTGAAATCCAGAAGATTTTACCAAGCAATGACATTTACACAATCAAAGTGCTTGTGAGCACTGAAGAGTAAAGATTGCTTTCATTTTGCAATTTTGTTAGTTTTTAAATAAAATATTGAATTGTATTTTGGTAGGCATTTTTAGTTGGAGTTATCTTTCTTTGTTCATGAGTGTACATTTGTAGTTAAACCTATTTTTATAACAGATTCATACACCATGCATTACTTATGTAATTTTTGATAAAAAAATGTTTTCTTGACAAGTATGGTAATTCAAATACACATCATATTGTAACTTAAATATCAAAGTATAACATATCATCAAAGAATTGCATGACATTGACTGGATAGGATCTAAATAATGATCACTTCATTGCACTATTTTGTTTGAACTATCAAAGGTAGTGATCAACCTTGGAAGATATAGATATCAAGTCAGTACCAGGGACGGATCCAGGAATTTAGGTTAGGGGGGGCGCAAACTTAAATTTTCGCCCAGCGGAGCGAGGCAAAAATTTTTTTTGAGGTAAATTTATTGAAATATTCTTTATTAAGCTGAGGACAACCCATGCTTTGCAAATTTTAGGGGGGGCACACGCCCGCCACGCCCCCGCCTGAATCTGCCCCTGAGTACCATAGGGTTTTGATTGCAATCTTATCCCAAAAACAGGCAAAAAAATCTCTATTTTTTTTAATTTCTTTGCCTGTTTTATGTGTAAATAACAACACTTCATAAGACATGAAAGAAAAGTGTGACAAAAATTATTTCATTTCACTTTCTTATATATTTATGTATCAACTAGAAACAATTTTCATATGTACTCCTTTTACATAATTCTACTGTACCTTGCCTTTCATTATCAGTAAGACTAGCATTGATTTGCATGCCTTTGGCCATTTAAAATTATTTAGGCTTGTAATTTTCTGAGCAATTTTCAAGAAATTAAATAAAAATAAACTAATTTTTTTCATCAATTTATGCCCTCAATTAAAAAAGTACTTTTGATGTCACCATACCTTTCATCTTCATCGTCTTCATCACCCATAGCATCGTCTATAGCATCATTCATCATTTCTTCTTTCATTTCCATTATTTCTGATTGTTTCTCAAACTCCATCATTATTTTCTGAATTTGTGGAAGCTTCAACTACAGAATTAATACAAAGGTCAAACTACTTTGGATGCAATTGTATTCTCTTACACCAATTTCAATGGTTTGATATTACATTTGCACTTATAGAAAATGTTATGTTCTTATCTGTTTATAGTTCCCGCAAACCAGTCAATCAATTTTTTTCATTTTGTAGAGGCTAGTGTACGTGTATAAACATTAAATTTATAAAAACCTTAATTTCAATTTGTATACAATAAGAAGGCTATTTTAATTATTTTTATTCAAAGGCATTGTAAACATGTTTAACCCTGCCAATCACATTCTGTATGTGCCTGTCTTAAGTAAGGAGCCTGTAGTACAGTGGTTGTCATTGATTTATGTCTGTCACATGTGTTTGTCGTAAATTGTTAGTTTCCTTGTTTGAAGTGTTTCACATTTTTCATGACAGAGTTTTTTATAGCCGACTATACAGTATGGGGATTTTCTCATTGTTGAAGGCCGTACTGTGGCCTATAATTGAATAATACAACTTCATTTAAACTCTGGTGGATAGTTCTCTCATTGGCGATCATACCACATCCTTATTTTTATATATTAATTTTTTTATTTAAATGCAAAGTAAGTTACAAATAGGTGAAAATTTACCAGAAAGCCTTATGATACAGGAGAGTACTTTTGTAATTAAGGCAGTCTGTTTCCAAAAATAAACTTTAAATAATTTAATGAATGTAGGTTTTTACTTTACTTTTGATTTTTCACCCATTGTAGCAGTATTTATACACATGTATAATAATATTTTGAATAAACGAGATGTGGGGGTATATGTCAATGAGACAGCAAACCAACCACAAAAACAACCAAAAGACATCATGATCTAGAGGACAACAGTCTTCTACAATAGCTGGGTGTCTAAACAATATGTCAAGCAACAAACTTCCAGAGTCTATAAAAAGTTTAGAATAAATTTAAAAGCAACAATCAAAGATCTGCCAACAACAACTTATTTTCCAATAACAAAAAAAAACACTAAAATATGACATAAGACAACAGCTGGTTCTTGGCTTACCTGTTTGTTCATTGTTTGCATGGCTCTTGTAACCCCTTTCATTGCATTGGCCATAGCATTATTTGATTTTAATGTCTGTATTTTTAGTGACACAGCCTGAATATTAGCTCTCATCAAAATAAATTTCTTTACATAACGTCTTGTTCGAACTAAATCTTTGGCCATAATCTTTACAGCATCCTAAAAGAAAGAAACATATAAACATTTATTTCATTAAAAGAACAATTGGTTATTCTTATTGTACTTATATGTAATATAAGTACTGTTTATACAAACAGCCATTCCAGCTTACACTTAATAATTAATGTGATAATAAAGATGCTGACTTTCTGGATACATTTAATTAACATACACAGACCACTTGTTATATCTTGAGGTTAATTTCCCTGGCATTTGACACTTTGAAGTTTTTATATAAATTTTAATTTTTTTTTTAATTCCCCTTAACTAATGAGTTCTGGTTTATAGTATAAATTTTAACTCCAGATCTTTTTAATTTCACCTAACTACATCCTTATATCAGATTTCAAATGATTCTAAATAGATAAACAGTAACTGTTTGTTTTACATATAAATTTATATATATTTATAGTTTAAAAATAAGCATTTGATATCGCCTATTACTGACACCTTTCTTCTTTTCTTTATTCGCATATCTAAACACTGAGGATGGAGACAGATTGCACCTCCTGTATGCACATTAGGTTCATCAGATTTACAATCAAAGACATTAGACACTATCAAGTTCTTCATTTTACCTAAGATGTGGCTACAGCTGGAATTATATGTCAATGGGACCTTATTATTAAACTTTACTTTTGTTCATACCTATATATTCTCATGAACATTTGCAGTATAATAATCATAGTATCACCAATTGGATAATCTTTACAATATTTCATCTTTCATCTGTGGGTTTAAAGCACAATCAGCAACTAGTCTCACATTTATCAAGTTCAGAATTTCTCATGTGTAAACAGGATTACAACAGACATGACTACCATATTTTGATACTAGAGCCTCTGTATTTCGACATGGACCCAAGAGTATGTTCAGATTTGTTATCTGTGTGGACATTATTCCTCCACTATTCAAACAGAGCATGTAGGATACACAGTTTTAGCATATTGACTACAAGGCAGCACTACAGCCTCAACAGTGCCGAACGAGTCCAGAAGTATTTGATTTCAAACCAAATTGTAACTTACTTGGGACATTGCTATTTCAAGCATACTTGAATCCGTAGAATCTGACAACTTACACTTTTTAAATAGACTACTTTGCATTTAAAATACGGCAAACCCAAGAACCAAGGAACCGTACAGTTTGCCTATTACTTTAAAGATATTATAGAGATTTTATTATGTTTTAGACAGGTATTTTTACCACTTTTTACAATAACAAAGACAGTATGTACATAGGTATTATTGCTCTATATATATATACACAGTGGAGTTTTATTGTTGAAACCTAATATGTTAAAGAGATTTATATTTGGGAATACAGTGATGTTTACCGTAGAGTATACATGCATTTCAAAATTTTTATATTTACACACCCAATGTTCACATTGGAGACAGCAGTATATACAAACAGTCAATACCAACTCAGAATCTAACTGTTCTTTATAGCTGTACTTTGAACTTTAGACAAACACATCGAAAGAATTATTAAATATATAACTGCATATAACATGTATTCAATGATGAGAGCTTCAGGCTTTCGAAAGAATTATTTATTAACTGCATACTGAACAGTGGTATTTTCTTCAAAATCTTTTTAGGAAAATTTATCATATTTGAATACTAAATATAGTTTTATAGCATTAACATGCCTGTATTTCAGTACCAGTTATGATAGACATTGGCTAATCTACCAGCACATGGGATATTCCCCATACAGACCTAGCACACTAACAGCTACAGATGAGACACCAAGTCTCACCCCCTTGTGGAGACCCCTCGCTCCACATTCCCAAACTGGCATATTGTTGTACAGGCAGTTTCTTGCTCTCCGAATTACAATACTGAATGCATCTCTCATGATGTTCAAAATCTATATGAATCAATCTAGTGTAGCTCTCAGTTCAAAATCTTTGATATTGAATACCATTTTTATAGCATTCTCATCTCATTGAAATACTAATAATAATTTTTATTGCATTCTCATCATTGAATTATTGATAATCATATTTTACCTTTCTCAGCATTGAATTACTGATAATAATTTTTATAGCATTCTCATCATTGGATTACTGATATTCATTTTTATAGTAATCTCATCATTGAATTACTGAATATCTTGTTATAGCATTCTCATGTTAGAACTTTGAATATTGAATATAATTTTATAGTATTATCATGTGACCATTTGGTCAAAATACTAGGACGCTGTCCTCTGATAGTTAGTGCAGGTATATAGGTAAGAGTGTCATCTACTTCAATTAAGTATGCACAAGAATTGTTAGGAAATATTAATTTAAATCATTTTAATGTTTTAATACTGACTACTTTTAGTTACATAATTGTAAATTTGGATGTAGATCTACACATATATATATCATGTATATATCATGTATGTACATATATTTTCATTGTAATTTTTTTTTTTTTTTTTTTCTCATGACTTTATTGAAGGTGAAAAAATCTTAATCCTAAATCCTTGGGGGCACTCAGCTGTTTCCATCTGAGTTTTTGGACCTTGATGGAATTTTATCACTGGTTATTTCTAAAATTTCATTCATCCCCAAGCATTTCGGGGACAAATTTTATCAAATTTATTCCAGCGCCAGTTTGATCTCAGATGAGACGCCTAGTCTCATCACCGAAGTGGAGAACCCTCGCTTCACATTCCCAAGTCTCAGATGAGACGCCTAGTCTCATCACCGAAGTGGAGAACCCTCGCTTCACATTCCCCGGCCTCAGATGAGACGCCTAGTCTCATCGCCAAAGTGGAGAACCCTCGCTTCACATTCCCCGGCTGGCGTATTGTCGGGCAGGCAGGTTCTTCCTCACACTGGAGGTTGCAAGCTGACTTGCTCAGGCAGGAACTCAAAAATTGTCTTGTATGCTGAGTGTTTCCCTAGGGCCAAAACCAGATTGATTAATTGTTTTTTATAAATAAATTATTATTCATTCTAAAATATTTTTCTGCTTTAAGCCAGTATGATTTTGCTGAGACTATGTTTTTGTTTTACACACAGATACCCCTTTTTGTGACATTTGGTATAGTTTTTCGGAGTTGGTATTTGCTCATTTACAAGGATGAGATCGGGACTTTATTTGAGATTTGCTCTATTAAGAGAGTTTTAGTGTAAATAATTGTGGGATGTCAGGACTTGCTTATCAATACAAACAGAACATAATTTTACCAGAAAAGTTACATCAGTTAAATATAGATTGATGTGATCATTAAACATTTCATCTTATCAATGGAAGGCTTGCATATACCTACCTTGATCTTTGGAAAAGGTAAATAAAAATGTCTCTAGAAATTTAGTAAGCCTTCCACTGGTGACCTGGAATGTTTTGATCACTGACACTAGAGGCATAAACAAGGAGTTTTGCAGACCACCCTAACAACTATAAAAGAATTGGACAACCTCACACAAAAAGTACAGAAACAATATTTCACTTTATGAGACTCAATAAATATACAACATTAGACTGGAGAAAAAATTAAAAATATGAGACTACGGAAAAATATTACTATACGAGACAACAGAATACAAACTTGGTTTGTTTGTATAAATATACAATTAAAAAAAAAAATGCATGGCACATGTGTAGCAAAAAGTACTTAAAAGGATTACAAATGTACCCTTCAGGACTGAACTACCCTAAAGATATTTTCGCTTCATCTAGTTGAACCAGAAATATACGACTTAGTATTGTAAGAGCGATTTTGAGTGGTGATCAACCTGAACTACAGGATTCACTTGTTATATACATGAACTAATTTTGTTAATTTATATGTTAAGTCAAATCACTTGGGTCATTCTACCTTTTCTTCTTGTATTTATTTTTTCACGACTGAGTATATACAATCCTTGTCTCCAGTTCACTCAGAATTGGAAATATATAATTTGTGATGACACAAATGCATGCTAAGCAGAAAAGCATTTACCGGTAATGCAAATTAAATATTTTTTAGGTTGAGAAACAAATTTAACTCATGATCCCATACACTTGATTATATATAAGCAAGCACAATTTGAATATATGTAAAATGCCTGAAAATTCTCTTCCACAAAAATTATTTCACAATTACACTTTAAAAACCAATGGAGCATGTGCATGTCAACATTAAACCAGGAAGTAAAAATAACAAACCATCTGTCCTTGCTTTGCCATTTTCTTAATATCAGCAATAACTTTCTTCTCTTGTTGCTCCATCTTTGCTTTTTCTCTATCCAGATCTCTCATTGCTTTGGTTAATGCCCTTTGGTTCTGTCGCAACATTTCCTCTGGAGTCTTTTTCTTTCCAAAGAGCCATTCTAACGGCATGTTGACACACTGAAAAAGAAAAGCTATAGTAATAAAATGCTCCGCAGGGCGCAGCTTGATACGACCGCAGAGGTCGAACCCTGAACAGTTGGGGCAAGTATGGACACAACATTCAAGCTTGATACAGCTTTGCATTTGGATTGTGATTAAATATTTGACACAGCATAGGTTTCTGACACAGAATGAATGTGGTCTAAGAACTTAAAAATTTTAAATTGGACATTCACCTATTATGGTCCAATATCCAAAATCTAAATACATGGTTAGATTCAGCATATCAAAGAACCCCAAGAATTCAATTTTTGATGAAATCAAACAAAGTTTAATTTTGGACCCTTTTGACCTCAATGTGGACAAAGTTGATAACGGGGCCCAAAAATCAAAAATCTAAATACATGGTTAGATTCAGAATATCAAAGAACCCCATATATTCAATTTTTGTTGAAATCAAACAAAGTTTAATTTTGGACCCCGATTTGGACCAACTTGAAAACTGGGCCCATAATCAAAAATCTAAATACATGTTTAGATTCAGCATATCAAAGAACCCTAAGAATTCAATTTTTGTTAAAATCAAACTAAGTTTAATTTTGGACCCTTTGGACCTTAATGTAGACCAATTTGAAAACGGAACCAAAAATTAAGAATCTAATTACACGGTTAGATTCGGCATATCAAAGAACCCCAATAATTCAATTTTTGATGAAATCAAACAAAGTTTAATTTTGGACCCTTTGGACCTCATTGTGGACCAATTTAAAAACGGCGCCTAAATCCAAAAACTTAATACACGGTTAGATTCAGCATATTAAAGAACCCCAAGAATTCAAGAATAAAACCCCATTGAAATTGGTCAAGAAATAAGCAATTTATACAAAGTATCTTCTTTTGCACAATACTGTCATGACTGTGCAATTGAATATTTCTTGCTATTGCGCAATACTGTACAATTGACAATTTCTTGCTATTGCGCAATATTGTGCTATTGGATATTTCTTGCTATTGCGCAATACTGTGCAATTGAAGATTTCTTGCTATTGCGCAATACTGTGCAATTGAAGATTTCTTGCTATTGTGCAATACTGTGCAATTGAAAATTTCTTGCTATTGCACAATACTTATTATATAAAAATTTACACATCCTGTTTGGTGTGTATCTCCTACCATATCATTATTATTTGCTTTTAAATATAAATCAGAAATAACCAACTTAAAATGGAAAATTTAAAAAAAAAAAAAAGGAAAAAAAGAAAAAAAAAGGAACCCCCCCCCCCCCAATTTTTTGAACCTTATGATTCATCACCCCCAAACTCAATCCCAGCCTTCCCTTTGTGGTATGGTACCTTGCAGTACAATTTCAGAGAGATCCATACACTTGAACACAAGTTATTGTCTGGAAACTAGAAAAATGTGTTTTTTGGCCCCTTTTTGGCCCCAAATTCCTAAACGTTTAAGGCAATTACCCCTAAACTCAAACCCAGCTTTCCCTTTGTGATATGGAACCTTGTAGTACAATCTTAGAAAGATCTATACACTTACACACAAGTTATTGTCCTGAAACTAGAAAAATGCTTGTTTTTTCCCCCTTTTTGACCCCTAATTCCTTAAATATTGAGGCAATTACCCCCATCATCAATCCTAGCCTTCCCTTTGTGGTATGGTACCTTGCAGTACAATTTCAGAGAGATCCATACACTTGAACACAAGTTATTGTCTGGAAACTAGAAAAATGCTTATTTTTGGTCCCTTTTTGGCCCCCAATTCCTAAACATTTTGGCAATTACCCCCAAACTCAATTCCAGCTTTCCCTTTGTGAACCTTGTAGTACAATTTCAGAAAGATCCATACACTTACACACAAGTTATTGTCATGAAACTAGAAAAATGCTTGTTTTTTGCCCCTTTTTTGGCCCCTAATTCCTAAAATTTTGAGGCAATTACCCCCAAAATCAATCCCAGCATTCCTTTTGTGATATGGAACCTTGTGGTACAATGTCAGAGAGATCCATACACTAACACACAAGTTATGTCTGGAAGTTACAAAAATGCTTATTTTTGGCCCCTTTTGGCCCCTAATTCCTTTACTGTTGGTACCATAACCCCCAAAATCAATCCCAACCTTCCTTTTGTGATATTGAACCTTGTGGTAAAATTTCATAGAGATCCATTCACTTAAACTAAAGTTAGAGTGCGAAAACCAATGTGTCTTCGGACGACGCCGGACGTCGACGACGACGACGCCAACGTCATACCAATATACGACCACAAAAATTTTTTGGCGGTCGTATAAATATGTATGACAGCACATGTCATGCATGTTGATAACTTTTCCATCCTTTTTAACTAGTAGTGTAAATCCCCTTTTTCTATTTTTAGATACATGTATTATATATAACCTTAGTTTATAATTAATAGATTTGTTTTTCTTGTACAAGAGACTGGATGTCGAGACTTTGATATTGAAACCTTGTCCGGACAGTATTTCTATAGATTAAGGAAAGCTTTCCTACTGGTAAGTTGTACTTTAATTTTATCTTATTCTTTACAATTTATTCATGTTTCCATTTTAGAGTAAAACATTTCTAAATTCATTGTTTCCATTTCTGTTCCAAAATTACAGAAAGAATTGTACACTTGTTTGATAGCTAGTTATTTTATGAGTATCAGATTTAATAAACAGCTGCGCCATGAGTGCATGATACGCCCGTCGCTTTTTCAAAGAATAAAGTTCAATAACTTCTCAATGTCATATCAGAAATTCATGAAAAACTAAAGGGAGGTTATCTTAATAGATATAAACCAGTCACCAAAGTTTCATGATAACTGCTCAAGCCATTGACCGAAAACTGAAAAATACCCCCTTTTTTATGAATACAACAGGGCTGGACAATAACGCTTGTCCGATTGTCCGGTACCAGAGGAAAAAAAGGTCGGACAAGTAAAAGCTAGATCAAGGTTGTCCGACGGGACAAGTAAAATCATTTTGTAGAAAATAAATTAAATCCAACTTTGATCAACAAAATAATAAACAAAAAACAAGAAAAGATAAAAACAAATATTAATTTGACATGTTTACTTGCAATCGATAATTTAAAACTGGTTCTTTGACAGATACTTTATAACAGATAAAACGGGTAATATTCTCAGAAACCAGTCTTAGATGAAATCAAGAATGGCTTTGTAGATAAGGTAACAAGACAGTTCGGCACCGGCACGGAAACCAATCCTTCCATGTTTAATAGACAGTATGGCACCGTAGGAGACATTTCGGGAACAAGCCAACCAGTACCTCATTTCCCTACCTTATTCTGTTGCTTATAATAAATATGATAAATTTTATTTAACAAAAAAAAATTTTTAAATAAAAAATGAAGAAATTATTGACCATAAAATTCACAGAATCATATTTGATCATATGTAGACAAAACAATACTTGATTGCGTTTGAATAAACATTTTAATATATTAAAAACAAAGTTGTTTGTAGTAAGGCATTAATCATAATAATCAATATTTTACCAACATGAAAGACCAGGATACAAACCAAATGAGTGTAGACTGACAGGCCTACCAGACTGTGCCTCATGTGCAGAGTCTGATGAGACTTTGGCATTGATGAAAACTAGAACATAAGTCCTGTGACATGACTTGAATCAGTTGTTCTCGTCTCATATTTTTGAAAAGGATATCAAGAGATATAAATCAAATTCTGTTCTTATGTTCATTGAATCAACTTAAAATGCAAAAAAAAGGTTAATATTAAGAAATTTTTTTTGGACAAGTTACAATTCCATTCGGACAAGTAAGTTTTGATGTGTACTTGTCCTATTGGGCAAGTTGAGAAAAAAGTTATTGTAGATGCCTGTACAATCACATAACTCTGAAACGTAAAATCTAAAATGTATAAAAATCGAAAGGGAGCTCATGGCAATAAATATAAACAATTCACCAAAGTTTCTTGCAAATTGGTTAAAGTGTTTTTGAGTTGTTGTCCGAAAACTGGAAAATCACCCTTTTTTAATGAAAAAAACCCAAAACTCGGAAACTTAAATTTTAAATTTATCAAAAACGAAAGGGAGCTCACGTCAATAGATATAAACAATACACCAAAGTTTCATGCGAATTGGTTCAAGCGTTTTTGAGTTATTGTCTGACATGTTGAGGACGGACGGACGGTACGACAGACGGACGGACAACGGTATACCATAATACGTCCCGTAAACGGGCGTATAAAAAGAGATGGGGTACATTTTGATAAGATATTAAAGAAGATGATTAATGCGAGAAATATATTCTAAGAGTATTTACAAAAATGTAAACTGGTCAGTTGAAGAGCTCATTCATGGTTTAGATTTTCATGAGGTGCCGGAATGCTAGTGTTTTTTCGTCTTTGTCTATTTAATATGGTATTGGGTCCATTCGCTCCAAAAACACATTCACACCTTACACGTTCACTCCCTGGGTCCGTTCGCACCCTATTTTTATTCAAATACCGGTTGCATTATTAGATGTCTTTTTAGATGTATATATCAAAATATTTATATTTTCATGAATAAAAATTCGTGAATTTTTTTAATGAAATTTTTTTTTGTGATTAGATGATTAATTATCGATTGTGATTTATTTAAGATTACTGCTAATTGGTATTTACAAAGCTAATTTGGAACTATTGCTATGTGTTTGGTGTAAAGTAAAATACAAGTAGTTAGCTTCAGGTAGGAGTAAAATCATTGAAGACTTTAAATTAAAAAAAATGAATGATAATTATTTTAACAGCTTGTGACGAGTTTGATAGCCTTTACGGAATCTTCTGTCTCTGTTTCACAAGTCTTATTAGAGAGAATGACTTAATTAGTCTTTGATCATCATAACAATATTCATTATTCATTTTGTCAAATTTAAAATAATTAACAAAAAGTAAATTGGTTTACGTTTTTAGAATGTCACTTTTTTTTAAAACAATAAAAAAAACTTATTTTATTTATTTTTAAAGCAATGCATTAACTTAAGCATAATTTAAAAATTATTCAACACAAAACCTTTATAAAAGGGTGCGAATGGACCCACGTTGTGAACGTGTGGGGTGTGAACATGAAAGGGGCGAACAAGAAGGGGAGCGAACATGATTTTTAGCAAACGGACCTGGATTCATTTAATATGATACCGATATTACTGTTTTATCAATCATGTTTTTTTGGTTATATATGAGCCAAAAAATTGCTTATCACAATCGTCACTATTGTCATCTGTATGTTTTTGGTCCTTTCCTCACCTTTTTAATTGGTTTAGTACTATGAAACTAGGTTTAGCCCACCATTAACAGGCATTATCTTCAAAAAATGCCTGTACCATGTAAGGAATATGACAGTTGTTTGATGAACAGAATGACAACTCAATTCTGCAGGCAAACATTGGTGTGCTTATCTTTTACATCTTGAACATTTGTACAACATTAATTTTACCTTCTATATGAAAATTAAGTTTCTTCAACTGTAAAATAACTGAATTGTAAGGAATGAGTGACTGTGAGTCAGGAAATCACTTCAATGTGTATTTTGACAATGACGTCACGGAAAAATGTGCTTAGTCTTTAATACAAAATAAAAATTTTGTTTATGTTTTGCATTTTTTGTTTATTGAATTTTTTTCAACACAAAATCTGTCATATAAAATATTTTGTAAACATTTCTATGTAACTGAACAAATAACCTTTCAGTTAAAAAATTGTTAAAAATTAATGAGTTCGAGAGTTTGATGGCGGCTATGCTGCAGTGCTGTGCAAAATCTGGGGTAAAATTTCACTAATCACTGTGAAATATGATGAAAGTTTCTTTAATAAGAAAAACGAATTAATAGGGAAACATTTAACGTTTATTATTTTAGTATTTTGGTTATCCTTTGTAGTTCACAATCCCGTATTTTCAAACCTTCAACGTCAGCTGATGGATTTGCGCAATACGTACTTAGTGCAATAAATTCATGCACTGGGTTTTCAAATTTATACCCTCGTTAAAAGTTACGGAATAAATTGTTATTATTAGACGAAAAAGATATATTTCATTTCATTTGAAATATTGAAAAGTGTATTGAATCAAATCCTTATGAATTGGGGGATTGGTCTTTTATTTGGCTCACTTTCAAATTAAATAAATCAATAGAATGAACTAATAGTAATAAATGTCTAATGTATACTTTACATTATTCTATGTAATGACCTGTCTTATACAATTAATTATGCGTATTATTATGCCTCAGGTTAAAATGCCAGATCTTCCTCAATCTTCAATCTTGAGGCCTGTTGGCACAAATTGTCTCAAATGTGCAGATTAACTCATTACTAAGTACGTTACGCTCAACATATATTTCTCTCTGTGCTTTTAAAGGATATACGCTGGTTAAGATTTGGATTGAGGAACTGCAGTATCAAATCTGCCAGTTCTGTCAATATAAATCATTAATCATGTTAATGGTAATTCCATTTTCTGTAAAGCACATTTTGTATACATTTTGTAAAAAATGAAATGAAAACCAAACAGGAAAAAAAATTCAGTCTTTCTTTTTTCATATTTCAGCCAATAGATGTAGTACCACCCAGCATCAGAAACTGAGAAAAAAAACCAAAACAATCTAAGGAAGAAATAAACAACAAGAGCCCAAAAAGAACTAAACTGCACAGACTGCACTTCTGAGGACTAGGAAACTCCCAAGGAAACTAAACAACCATGTCAGCTGTAAAGAAGTTGAACAGTCCTCAGTGGAAGGCATGTATAAATTGATGATAATTGATTCATTCTGGTCCCAGAATACAGTTATCATCCTTTCGATTTTTCATTGTCTTCAAATAAAGTCCTAAGTATGGAAAGTGTTACTTGCAATTTTTTAAAATACAAATTCCTAATTTATTTCTTCATATATAATGCATAAAATAGTAAGTCATGTAAAGCAAAGTAGAGAAGTAGTAGATGGGTGGGTGAAATTACATGTACAAAAGATTTGGGTCTTTAGTCATGTTAGTTTTAAGGTAAAGTAATGATTTGGTCTAGTTTAAAAAGGTTAAAAATGTGTGTCTGAAACTATCAAAACTGAATTTGAATTTAATTTGAATTAACATGTAATTGTCCATATTTTGAGTCTGAGCTGGTAGACTTTTGATATTATTTGTCACATAAGTACCACTCCAGTGTAAAAATCTTACCGAGTAAACATGTACATGTAGGTTGGATTTTTTTAATTTGCATTTATTGTTCATTAACTGCACTACAAAATAACTGCGCCATGTCTGGTCTGTTTTTATTATACGACCAATTATGTCGTCGTCGTCCAAAGACACCTTGGTTTTTCGCACTTTAACTTTAGTTTAAGTGAATGGATCTCTATGAAATTTTACCATAAGGTTGAATACCACAAAAGGAAGGTTGGGATTGATTTTGAGGGTTATGGTACATGTACCAACAGTGAAGGAATTAGGGGCCAAAAATAAGCATTTTTGTAACTTCCAGACATAACTTGTGTGTTAGTGTATGGATCTCTCTGACATTGTACCACAAGGTTCCATATCACAAAGGGAATGCTGGGATTGATTTTTGGGGTAATTGCCTCCAAATTTAAGGAATTAGGGGCCAAAAAAGGGGCAAAAAACAAGCATTTTTCTAGTTTCATGACAATAATTTGTGTGTAAGTGTATGGATCTTTCTGAAATTGTACTACAAGGTTCCGTATCACAAAGGGAAAGCTGGAATTGAGTTGGGGGTTATTGTCTTAAATGTTTAGGAATTAGGGGCCAAAAATAAGCATTTTTCTGGTTTCCAGACAATAACTTGTGTTCAAGTGTATCTTTCTGAAATTGTGCTGCAAGGTACCATACCACAAAGGGAAGGCTGGGATTGATTTTGGGGGTAATTGCCTCAAAAATTTTAAGGAATTAGGGGCCAAAAAAGGGAAAAAACAAGCATTTTTCTAGTTTCAGGACAATAACTTGTGTGTAAGTGTATAGATCTTTATGAAATTGTACTACAAGGTTCCATATCACAAAGGGAAAGCTGGAATTGAGTTTGGGGGTAATTGCCTTAAATGTTTAGGAATTTGGGGCCAAAAAGGGGCCAAAAAACAAGTATTTTTTAAGTTTCCAGACAATAACTTGTGTTCAAGTGTATGGATCTCTCTGAAATTGTACTGCAAGGTACCATACCAAAAAGGGAAGGCTGTGATTGAGTTTGGGGGTGATGAATCATAAGGGGGTTCAAAAAATTTTGGGGGGGGTATTTTTTTTTTCCTTTTTTTTTCTTTAAAATTTTCCATTTTAAATTGGTTATTTCTGATTTATATATAAAAGCAAATAATAATGATATGGTTTGAATAGGTAAATTAAAAAAATTTAAGTTCTTAGACCACATTCATTCTTTGTCAGAAACCTATGCTGTGTCAAATATTTAATCACAATCCAAATTCAGTGCTGTATCAAGCTTGAATGTTGTGTCCATACTTGCCCCAACTGTTCAGGGTTCGACCTCTGCAGTCGTATCAAGCTGCGTCCAGCGGAGCATTTTATTGTTTGATGTTTTTCTGCTTTGTATCGATCTGATGAGTTAAGCCCTTTTCAACTGATTTTGATAGTTTGTTCTTATGTTGTGCTGTAACACCATTGTCCAAGGTTAGGGGGAGGGCTGATCGAGCACTCACAAACATGTTTTACCCCACCACTTTCTTTATGTGTGACAGTGTCTGTCCCAAGTCAGGAGCCTGTAGTTCAGTGGTTGTCAGTGGTTGATATCTGTCATATTTGTTTTTCGAAAATTGTTTTGTTATAAATTAGGCCATTAGTTTTCTCAATTGCATTGTCTCATATTTTTTATGTCAGGGCCTTTTACAGCCGACGATACGGTATGGGTTTTTCTCATTGTTGAAGGCTGAAGGGTTGCTTTTAATTGCTCACATCCGCTTCATTTGAACTTTTGTGGATTGTTGTCTCATTGGCAATAATACCACATCTCCTTATTTTTATACGGCCGAAGACACATTGGTTTTCCCACTCTAACTTTAGTTTAAGTAAAGGGATCTCTATGAAATTTTACCATAAGGTTCAATACCACAAAAGGAAGGTGGGGATTGATTTTGGGGGTTATGGTACCCACAGTTAAGGAACTAGGGGCCAAAAATAAGCATTTTTGTAACTTCCAGACATAACTTGTGTGTAAGTGTATGGATCTCTCTGACATTGTACCACAAGGTTCCATATCACAAAGGGAAAGCTGGAATTGAGTTTGGGAGTAATTGCCCAAAACGTTTAGGAATAAGGGGCCAAAAGAGGCAAAAAACAAGCATTTTTCTAGTTTCATGACAATAACTTGTAGGTAAGTGTATGGATCTCTCTGACATTGTATCACAAGGTTCCATATCTCATAAGGAATGCTGGGATTGATTTTGGGGGTAATTGCCTCCAAATTTTAGGAATTAGGGGCCAAAAAGGGGCAAAAAACAAGCATTTTTCTAGTTTCATGACAATAACTTGTGTGTAAGTGTATGGATCTTTATGAAATTGTACTACAAGGTTCCATATCACAAAGGGAAAGCTGGAATTGAGTTTGGGAGTAATTGCCCAAAACGTTTAGGAATAAGGGGCCAAAAAGGGGCCAAAAATAAGCATTTTTCTAGTTTCCAGACAATAACTTGTGTTCAAGTGTATGGATCTCTCTGAAATTGTACTGCAAGGTACCATACCACAAAGGGAAGGCTGGGATTGATTTTGGGGGTAATTCCCTTAAAATTTTAGGAATTAGGGGCCATAAAAGGGCAAAAAAACAAGCATTTTTCTAGTTTCAGGACAATAACTTGTGTGTAAGTGTATAGATCTTAATGAAATTGTACTGCAAGGTACCATATCACAAAGGGAAAGCTGGGTTTGAGTTTGGGGGTAATTGCCCTAAATGTTTAGGAATTTGGGGCCAAATAACAAGTATTTTTTAAGTTTCCAGACAATAACTTGTGTGTTCAAGTGTATGGATCTCTCTGAAATTGTTCTGCAAGGTACCATACCAAAAAGGGAAGGCTGGGATTGAGTTTGGGGTGATGAATCATAAGGGGGTTCAAAAAATTTGGGGTAGGGTTTTTTTTCTTAAAAATTTTCCATTTTAAATTGGTTATTGTCGAGCCTGCGACTTTTGTCCCAGAAAGCTCGACATAGGGATAGTGATCCGGCGGCGGCGGCGTTAGCTAACTTCTTAAAAGCTTTATATTTTAGAAGGTGGAAGGTCTGGATGCTTCATACTTTGTATATGGATGCCTCATGTTACGAAGTTTCCGTCAGTCACATGTCCATTGTCCTTGACCTCATTTTCATGGTTCAGTGACTACTTGAAAAAAAAGTTCAGATTTTTTGTAATGTTAGATTCTCTCTTATTATAAGTAATAAGATAACTATATTTGGTATGTGCGTACCTTGCAAGGTCCTCATGCCCGTCAGATAGTTTTCACTTGACCTCGACCTCATTTCATGGATCAGTGAACAAGGTTAAGTTTTGGTGGTCAAGTCCATATCTCAGATACTATAAGCAATAGGTCTAGTATATTCGGTGTATGGAAGGACTGTAAGGTGTACATGTCCAACTGGCAGGTGTCATCTGACCTTGACCTCATTTTCATGGTTCAGTGGTTATAGTTAAGTTTTTGTGTTTTGGTCTGTTTTTCTTATACTGTATGCCATAGGTCTACTATATTTGGTGTATGGAATGATTGTAAGGTGTGCATGTCTAGCGGGCAGGTGTCATTTGACCTTGACCTCATTTTCATGGTTCAGTGGTCAAAGTTAAGTTTTTGAGTTTTGGTCTTTTTTTCTAATACTATGTGCAATAGTTCAACTATATTTGGTATGTGCGTACCTTGCAAGGTCCTCATGCCCGTCAGACAGTTTTCACTTGACCTCGACCTCATTTCATGGATCAATGAACAAGGTTAAGTTTTGGTGGTCAAGTCCATATCTCAGATACTATAAGCAATAGGTCTAGTATATTCCGTGTATGGAAGGACTGTAAGGTGTACATGTCCAACTGGCAGGTGTCATCTGACCTTGACCTCATTTTCATGGTTCAGTGGTTATAGTTAAGTTTTTGTGTTTTGGTCTGTATTTCTTATACTGTATGCCATAGGTCTACTACATTTGGTGTATGGAATGATTGTAAGGTGTACATGTCTAGGGGGCAGGTGTCATCTGACCTTGACCTCATTTTCATGGTTCAGTGATCAAAGTTAAGTTTTTGAGTTTTGGTCTTTTTTTCTAATACTATGTGCAATAGTTCAACTATATTTGGTATGTGCGTACCTTGCAAGGTCCTGATGCCCGTCAGACAGTTTTCACTTGACCTCGACCTCATTTCATGGATCAATGAACAAGGTTAAGTTTTGGTGGTCAAGTCCATATCTCAGATACTATAAGCAATAGGTCTAGTATATTTGGTGTATGGAAGGACTGTAAGGTGTACATGTCCAACTGGCAGGTGTCATCTGACCTTGACCTCATTTTCATGGTTCAGTGGTTATAGTTAAGTTTTTGTGTTTTGGTCTGTTTTTCTTATACTATATGCAATAGTTCAACTATATTTGGTGTATGGAAATATTTTATGATCTATTTGGCAGTCACGCAGGTTTTATTTGACCTTGACCTCATTTTCAAGGTTCATTGCTCAGTGTTAAGTTTTTGTGTTTTGGTCTGTTTTTATACGACCGCAAAAAAATTTTTGTGGTTGTATATTGGTATGACGTTGGCGTCGTCGTCGGTCGTCGTCGACGTCGTCCGAAGACACATTGGTTTTCGCACTCTAACTTTAGTTTAAGTGAATGGATCTTTATGAAATTTTACCACAAGGTTCAATACCACAAAAGGAAGGTTGGGATTGATTTTGGGGGTTATGGTAATAACAGTAAAGGAATTAGGGGCCAAAAAGGGGCCAAAAATAAGCATTTTTGTAACTTCCAGACATAACTTGTGTGTTAGTGTATGGATCTCTCTGACATTGTACCACAAGGTTCCATATCACCAAAGGAATGCTGGGATTGATTTTTGGGGTAATTGCCTCCAAATTTTAGGAATTAGGGGCCAAAAAAGGGGCAAAAAACAAGCATTTTTCTAGTTTCATGACAATAACTTGTGTGTAAGTGTATGGATCTTTCTGAAATTGTACTACAAGGTTCCATATCACAAAGGGAAAGCTGGGTTTGGGTTTGGGGGTAACTGCCCTAAACGTTTAGGAATTTGGGGCCAAAAAGGGGCCAAAAAACACATTTTTTTCTAGTTTCCAGACAATAACTTGTGTTCAAGTGTATGGATCTCTCTGAAATTGTGCTGCAAGGTACCATACCACAAAGGGAAGGCTGGGATTGAGTTTGGGGGTGATGAATCATAATGGGGGTTCAAAAAATTTTGGGGGGGGGGATTTATTTTTTTTTCCTTTTTTTTTTTTTTTCCTTTTTTGTTTCTTTTAAAATTTTCCATTTTAAGTTGGTTATTTCTGATTTATATTTAAATTCAAATAATAATGATATGGTAGGAGATACACACCAAACAGGATGTGTAAATTATTATATAATAAGTATTGTGCAATAGCAAGAAATTTTCAATTGCACAGTATTGCACAATAGCAAGAAATCTTCAATTGCACAGTATTGCGCAATAGCAAGAAATCTTCAATTGCACAGTATTGCGCAATAGCAAGAAATATCCAATAGCACAATATTGCGCAATAGCAAGAAATTGTCAATTGTACAGTATTGCGCAATAGCAAGAAATATTTAATAGCACAGGATTGTGCAAAAGAAGATACTTCCTATAAATTGCTTATTTCTTGACCAATTTCAATGGGGTTTTATTCTTGATTTCATGGGGTTCTTTAATATGCTGAATATAACCGTGTATTTAGTTTTTGGATTTTTGGGCCCCGTTTTTAAATTGGTCCACATTGAGGTCCAAAGGGTCCAAAATTAAACTTTGTTTGATTTCATCAAAAATTGAATTATTGGGGTTCTTTGATATGCCGAATCTAACTGTGTATTTAGATTCTTAAATTTTGGTTCCATTTTCAAATTGGTCTACATTAAGGTCCAAAGGGTTCAAAATTAAACTTAGTTTGATTTTAACAAAAATTGAATTCTTAGGGTTCTTTGATATGCTGAATCTAAACATGTATTTAGATTTTTGATTATGGGCCCAGTTTTCAAGTTGGTCCAAATCGGGGTCCAAAATTAAACTTTGTTTGATTTCAACAAAAATTGAATATATGGGGTTCTTTGATATGCTGAATCTAACCATGTTTTTTGATTTTTGGGCCCCGTTATCAACTTTGTCCACATTGAGGTCAAAAGGGTCCGAAATTAAACTTTGTTTGATTTCATCAAAAATTGAATTCTTGGGGTTCTTTGATATGCTGAATCTAACCATGTATTTAGATTTTGGATATTGGACCATAATAGGTGAATGTCCAATTTAAAATTTTTAAGTTCTTAGACCACATTCAATCTGTGTTAGAAACCTATGCTGTGTCAAATATTTAATCACAATCCAAATCCAAAGCTGTATCAAGCTTGAATGTTGTGTCCATACTTCCCCCAACTGTTCAGGGTTCGACCTCTGCGGTCGTATCAAGCTGCGCCCTGCGGAGCATTTTATTCTTAAACTATAAGCAATAGGTCAACTCTATTTGTTGTATGGAAGAATTGTTAGCTGTACATGCCTGCCTAGCATGGTTCATCTGACCTTGTCCTCATTTTCATGGTTCATTGGTCAATGTTTAGTTTACTTGGTTAATGTTAAGTTTATGTGACAGTTGTAATAAAGCTTTATATTTAGGACTATCAACATAATATCAATGATTAGTAAAGAAGGCGAGACATTTCAGCGTGTGCACTCTTGTTTCTGATTTATATATAAAAGCAAATAATAATGATATGGTTTGAATAGGTAAATTAAAATTTTTTAAGTTCTTAGACCACTTTCATTCTGTGTCAGAAACCTATGCTGTGTCAAATATTTAATTACAATCCAAATTCTGTGCTATATCAAGCTTGAATGTTGTGTCCATACTTGCCCCAACTGTTCAGGGTTCAACCTCTGCGGTCGTATCAAGCTGCGTCCCAGCGGAGCATTTTATTATATTAGACATCAACAAACACTTAAAAAACACAACATACTTCAAGCATGTTTAAGGCCGATGTATTGCCTGTACAAGAAGTAACTTAAATTGAATTTTTGTTTAATTAGAATTTCCAGCCGTCCACACAAGATCCTGCAATAGTGTCATTTCAAAGAGCCGCAGCACCAGTGATCAGTTCACATATCAACAACAATGGAGTAGGGAGAGAAACAGGATTTATTGAGAAGCTTTTGGTAAATATTTAAATTTGACATTAGTGGATTGATGACTTTATGGTGAAAAGGATGAATTATGATAAACTAAAGGATTTTGTTCATAGTCATACACGACTATTGAATTTCAATAAGGATATATCATTTAAAAAATATATAATTTTCATTCCAAGAAAACAATTTTCGAAACTATGTGAGGCTCACATTAAGGCAACAAGAAAGAGGAAATAATCACAAACTCCAATATGTTTTCTTTGTATTTGCATGTAAACAGAAAAAAAATATTTGAAGGCGAAGCAATTTGTCAGTATAGTTTTATATTTGTGAATTGAAATTTGAATAGAATTTCAAATGCTTTTATTCATATTATGATTTAACATGTATAAAATTATAGAAGAAATTTTCAGCTTTTAAACTCTCATCTTTTGTTTCAATTTCAGCATTCCTATGGATTTATTCAGTGTTGTGAAAGGGATTCACGACTCTTCTTTCATTTTAGTGAATATGGAGATGATATAAACTTGGTTAAAATTGGAGGTTAGCACTTTTTTATACTTGATTAGAATTCATCACACTGCTTGCTGGCAGTTATTATACAACTTTTTTTAAGTACTGTTTCTTCAGAAATTATTGGGAGTGTTTTTATTAATGTGAATGGGTTAGTATGGCAATAGGTCCGAGGACACAGTTATCGTCCTTTGATTTTCGTTGTCTATAAATATAGTCCCAAGTGTGTACAGTGTATAACTTGCAAAATTTTTTCATACACTTTCCAAATTTATTTCTTTATATTTTATGTATGAAATATTAAGTAAAGGGATGAAATTACATGTTAAAAAAATTTGGGTGCTGAATCTTTTTGTTAAGTAGTGATTTGGTCCAGTTAAAAAAGGTCAAAAATTAGTATGTCTGAAGCTGTCAAACTGAACTTTAGACCCCCTAAACACAGCATTGTTTATATTTTGAGTTAGAGCTGATAGACTTGTCTGTAATTTTGATACTTTGTGTCCCAAAAGTAGTACACTACACTGTAAAAATCTTTTTGAGATAGAGCAAGTGCGATTTTTGTCAAGCCTTCGACTTTTGTTGAAAAAGCGAGACATAGCGATCCTACATTCCGTCGGCGTCGTCGGCAGCGTCCACAAATATTCACTCTGTGGTTAAAGTTTTTGAAATTTTAATGACTTTCTTAAACTATCCTGGATTTCTACCAAACTTGGACAGAAGCTTGTTTATGATCATAAGATAGTATCCAGAAGTCAATTTTGTAAAAAAAAAATTCCTGTTTTTCCGTATTTTACTTATAAATGGACTTAGTTTTTCTGCCAGGAAACATTACATTCACTCTGTGGTTTAAGTTTTTAAAATTTTAATAACTTTCTCAAACTATCCTGGATTTCTACCAAACTTGTCCAGATGCTTGTTTATGATCATAAGATAGTATCCAGAAGTTAATTTTGTAAAAAAAAAAAATCCTGTTTTTCCGTATTTTACTTATAAATGGACTTAGTTTTTCTGCCAGGAAACATTACATTCACTCTGTGGTTAAAGTTTTTAAAATTTTAATAACTTTCTCAAACCAGCCTGGATTTCTACCAAACTTGGCCAGATGCTTGTTTTTGATCATAAGATAGTATCCAGAAGTAAATTTAAAAAAAAAAATCCTGTTTTTCCGTATTTTACTTATAAATGGACTTAGTTTTTCTGCCAGGAAACATAAAATTCACACTGTGGTTAAAGTTTTCAAAATTTTAATAACTTTCTTAAACTATCCTGGATTTGTACTAAACATGGCCAGGTGCTTGTTTATGATTAAAAGCTAGTATCTAGAAGGAAATTTTTATTAAAATTTTGTACTTGTTTATCCATATTTTACTTATAAATGGACTTAGTTTTTCTTCCAGTTAACATAACATACAGTCTGCACTCTGCAGTTAAATTTTTAAAAATATTTATTAGATTCATAAACTATCCTGGATTTTTACCAGACTTGGAAAGAAGCTGCTTACAATAAAAAAATTGTATCGAGAGGAATATTTTTATTACATTTTTGTTGAGCCTGCGATAAACAGCAAAAGTAGGCGAGACACTGGGTTCCGTGGAACCCTTACGAATTTTTATACGACCGCAAAAAATTTTTGTGGTCGTATATTGGTATGATGTTGGCGTCGTCGTCGTCCGAAGACACATTAGTTTTCGCACTCTAACTTTAGTTCAAGTGAATGGATCTCTATGAAATTGTACCATAAGGTTTAATACCACAAAAGGAAGGTGGGGGTTGATTTTGGGGGTTATGGTACCAACAGTTAAGGAAAAAGGGGCCAAAAATAAGCATTTTTGTAACTTCCAGACATAATTTGTGTGTAAGTGTATGGATCTCTTTGACATTGTACCACAAGGTTTCCATATCACAAAGGGAATGCTGGGATTGATTTTTGGGGTAATTGCCTCCAAATTTTAGGAATGAGGGGCCAAAAAGGGGTAAAAAACAAGCATTTTTATACGACCGCAAAAAAATTTTGTGGTCGTATATTGGTATGACGTCGTCCGGCGTCGTCGTCCGGCGTCGTCGTCGTCGTCCGGCGTCGTCGTCCGAAGACACATTGGTTTTCGCACTCTAACTTTAGTTTAAGTGAATGGATCTTTTTGAAATTTGACCATAAGATTAAATACCACAAAAGGAAGGTTGGGATTGATTTTGGGGGTTATGGTACCAACAGTTAAGGAATTAGGGGCAAAAAAGGGGCCAAAAATAAGCATTTTTATGCCCCCGCCGTAGCGGAGGGGGCATTAAGTTTTACCCTTGTCCGTCTGTACGTACGTATGTACGTACGTACGTACGTACGTCCGTCCGTACGTCCCGAAATTGGTTTCCGTTCTCTAACTTGAGTTTGCCTCAACCAAATGTTATGAAACTTATACACAATGCTTATTACCACAAAACATAGATCAGGTTTGAATTTTGGTGGCGTCACTATAACCGATCTAGAGTTATGCCCCTTTATAAAAGGAAATATTGCAAAATTTTTAGTTTCCGTTCTCTAACTTAAGTTTGCCTCAACCAAATGTTATGAAACTTATACACAATGCTCATTACCACAAAACACAGATCAAGTTTGAATTTTGGAGGCGTCATTTTAACCAATCTAGAGTTATGCCCCTTTATAAAAGGAAAAATTGCAAAATTTTTAGTTTCCGTTCTCTAACTTAAGATTGCCTCAACCAAATGTTATGAAACTGATACACAATGCTTATTACCACAAAACACAGATCAAGTTTGAATTTTGGTGGCATCACTTTAACTGTTCTAGAGTTATGTCTCTTTATAAATAGAAAAATTGCAAAATATTTATTTTCTTCTAAATATCAAGTTTATAAAATTGCGAATGGAAATGGGGAATGTGTCAAAGAGACAACAACCCGACCATAGAACAGACAACAGCAGAAGGTCACCAACAGGTCTTCAATGCAGCGAGAATTCCCGCACCCTTAGACGTCCTTCAGCTGGCCCCTAAACAAATATATATACTAGTTCAGTGATAATTATAATATATTTTAAAATTGGAGTTATCTTCCTTTGACATTGATTATAGTTGAATCAACTACAAACAATGCTTTATACAATGCAATGTTTAATTTTGACTTCCACTGATAAAACACAGATCAAGTTGAATTTGGGTAGTGTCACTTTAACCATTATTGAGTTATGCCCCTTTATAAATCGAAAGATTGCAAAATATTTAGTTTCCATTCTGTAACTGAAGTTATCCCCAGCCAAACATTATGAAACCTATACACAATATTCATTACCACAAAACTCAGTAAAGATCAAGTACAATTTTTTTGTTTCCGTTCTCTAACTTGAGTTTGCCTCAACCAAATGTTATGAAACTTATACACAATGCTTATTACTACATAATACAGATTAAGTACGAAATTAAGTGGCAACACTTTTACCATTCTTGAGTTATGTCCCTTTATAAACATAAAAATTGCTGAATTTTTTAGTTTGTCTCAACTAAATGTTATAAAACTTATACACAACCGTTCTAGAGTTATGCATGTTTACAAATAGAAAAATTGCTGAATTTTTAGTTTCTGTTCTCTATTTAAGTTAGCCTCAACCAAATGTTATGAGACTTACACACAATGCTTATTACCACAAAACTCAGATCAAGTTCAAATTTGGGTAGCGTCACTTTTACCGTTCTTCAGTTATGTCCCTTTATAACTATATGATATGCAAGCGGGGGCATCATCTGTGTCCACATGTGGACACTATCCACATTTATTTAGTTTCCAGACAATAACTGTGGAATGGTGTATGGATCTCTCTGAAATTATACTACAAGTTTCCATACCACAAAGGGATGGTTAGGATTTGCTTTGGGGGGTTATGGCTCAAACCGTTTAGGAATTAGGGGCAAAAAAGGGGGGAAAAACAAGGTTGTCCTGGTTAATGGACAAATACTTTAGTACAAAACATAATTTAAAGCAGTGTAAGGGAGATAAATCAAATACATCATTGAAATTATCTCCCTTACACTGCTTTTAAATTATGTATAAAGTAATGGTTAATGAACAATAAAGATAATTTAAAACAGTGTAAGGGAGGTAATCCAAATACAACGTTTTGGTTACTTCCCTTACACTGCTTTTAAATTATGTTTAAAGAAATGCATATTTATAAAGGAAGACCAGTAAAAATATCTGCAAATGTTGCATCTTTTTTTTTTACAAAAAAATCCATAAGAAAGATTTGACACTATATTTTTAATTCTATTATAAAATAGATTAAGTTAGCACTATGGTAAATTTAAATGGGTAATTATGGTTGCCAACTCCATTGGAAATTTGAATTGAGATTATGACCATATCTTGAGGGAAAGAATTTTTTTGGGGAAAAAAGGGGGGTGGGGGATAAAAAGAAATTGTGGGGGGTCAATTTTTCTCATTTCAGATTTCAGAAATTAAAAAGAATTATTCTTCAAATATTATTTTTTTTTTCAAATTTCAAATATTGAAAAATTTCAAGAAGTAATCTTTAATTGCACAGTATGGCGCATTAGATTTGTAAAATCTTTGATCACATTTATTTATTTGTTATGCCGAATCTAACACTGTATTTAGATTTTTAATTTTGGGTCCAGTTTTCAAATTGGTCTACATTAAGGTCCAAAGGGTCCAAAATTAAACTTTGTTTGATTTTAGCAAAAATTGAATATATGAGGTTCTTTGATATGCTGAATCTAAACATGTATTTAGATTTTTGATTTTTGGCCCAGATTTCAAGTTGGTCAAAATTGGGGTCCAAAATTAAACTTTGTTTGATTTCAACAAAAATTGAATAAATGGGGTTCTTTGATATGCTGAATCTAACCATGTATTTAGATTTTTTATTTGTGGACCCCGTTATCAATTGGTTCATATTGAGGTCAAAAGGGTCCAAAATTAAACTTTGTTTGATTTCATCAAAAATTGAATTATTGGGGTTCTTTGATATGCCAAATCTAACCGTGTATTTAGATTTTTAATTT